TTTGCTTTCCAGCAGCGCCCACAGTCAAGGTGGCTCCTTCTGGCTGCTGCCACTAGTATTGCTACCACTGCTGGACCTGGCCACACTGCCTGGGTACTCTGATCTGTCTGCCCCACAACCGCCACCAGGGGTGCTGGATGGAGTTGGGGGGTGGGGGGGATTTCCAAGGAGACCAGCCAGGACCCATGCAGGCAGGGTGTACTCAGCCAGGTAGATGGGAGGGGCCATGGGTGGGGGTGAGTGGCTTCCAGTGCTGGGAAGTGTGGCCAGGGCCACGGCCAGGATCACAGGGTGATGACAACATGGGGCCAGGGCCCAGGGCAGAGCCACGATCTCTTGGCCACACATCCCTGTGATGGGTGCTGGTCCCATGGGGAGGGGTGTGCGGGAAGTGAATCTTGGCTCTGCCCCAGGGCCTGGCACCACACTGTCACCACCCCTTAATTCTGGCCCTGTCCTTGCCCTTGTCCACCTGTGCCTCTCCTGGATGCCACCTTCCATCCTCCTGCAGCTTCATTTCATCCTCCTGGCTGAGCGTATCCTCCCTGTGGGGGTCCCAGGACTAGGATCGCTAAGCACTGACAGCACAGGGCTAGAGGCTGGAGCCACAATCTGCTCACAGGTCTAGTAATCTACTACTTAGGGAGTTTTGGTGAGCTGTTACAGGCCATGGTGTGGGGGTGCTGATCTGGCCTGCAGCTGCTCACCAAAACCATCTAAGTGCCCCTCCAGCCCAAATAGTTGCACACCCCTGTCAGAGAGAGTTGCGAGTAGACTGAATGATAGCTTGTGCAGTACTTAAAATCATAGAAAATAGGGCTGGAAGGTCAAGAGGTCATCTAGTTCAGCTCCTTTCTCTAAGACATGCTCATCCCTGCCTAAGCCAAATATCCAGTTGTTTATATCTCTTCCACAACCTTTCTAGGTAATTTGTTTCAGAATTGACTATCGTTCAATAGTCCTTCGATACGGTAACCCACACCATACTGGTGAACAAGTTAAGAGGCGGTGACTTGGATGACTGCACGGCCCGGTGGGTGGTGAATTGGCTAGAGGGTCGCGCCCAGAGAGTCATAGTGGATGGGTCGGTATCGACCTGGAAGGGTTCGGGCAGTGGGGTCCCACAGGGTTCTGTCCTTGGACCGATACTCTTTAATGTCTTCATCAGCGACTTGGACGAGGGCGTGAAGTGTACTCTGTCCAAGTTTGAGGATGACACAAAACTGTGGGGAGAAGTGGACACACCGGAGGGCAGGGAACAACTACAAGCAGACCTGGACAGGTTGGACATATGGGCACAAAACAACAGAATGCAATTCAACAAAGAGAAATGCAAAGTGCTGCACCTAGGGAGGAAAAATGTCCAGCATACCTACTGCCTAGGAAATGACCTGCTGGGTGGCACGGAAG